CACTACATAGTGAGACTCTGTCTCAAAAAAAAAAAAAAAAACCCCAAGAAAGAAAAAAAATGGAGTGAAAAACAGATTTTTTGACACTGACCACTTCCACACTAAATAATCACTGGAAACACCCATATATCACATCAGATGGGGAAGCCGTTGGTCCAGTCTGTGTCAGTGGCCCATGTTTTTGTCTTCCTAAGGGACCACTACAGGACTCCTTTTATCTCCCTGGGTTTAGAATGCTTTGTCTTGGGGCACTGGCTCCAAGGAGGAGTGATCAAGCCTTTCCTTGCTAAACCCTGTAAGGAAATCCCAGGATATTGTGGTTATTTGCCCCAGAATGTTCCCCGTGGCTGCAGGCCAGATCCAAGGCTCCCATCTCAAAGGTGGCTGAGCTGGAGCCTCTGCAGAGCCTGCTAGAAACAGCTGCAGCTTCACAGCCATCATTAGGCAGTTAGTGACATGGGGACTCGTCCATATTTGGCATGGGCCTCTGGAGGTGCAGAGGAGAGAAGAGGGTTGGGTGACCTCTATGTCATACATAGTTCTGTTCAAGGTGAGAATGTAGATAAGGTGTTAGGACTTCCATTTGTTCTTGGACAGATCTGTCAGAGGAGCACAGGTTTTTCTGTCACAACACCATTGGCACCAGCAGGGCATTATCCCCTGATAAAGGACTGTCCTGGGCATTGTAGAATGTTGAGCAGTGTCCCTGCCTCTACTCACAGGATGCCAGCGGCACCCATGCCCAGTGTGACACCCAGAAATGTTTCCAGACAATGCCATCTGTCCCCAGATTGAGACAGTAGCAGCAGCAGCAGCAGCTGGACTCCCTCCTGGTTCCCTGAGCCCTCATCCTGTCTCCAGACACAGTTCCAAGGGCCTCGTGTTTCAGTCCTCTATTTAATTTGCTCCAGCCTGCTCCTCACAGCCCAGTTTTCTCTGGGATACTAACCATGTGTAACCTGTTTTTTTCCAGCTGACTTTATTGCTGTAATGAATTTGCACTTCTTAACTGGTGACCATACGATTCATATCACATTAAGGAAGATAAGAGTTAGCTTCTTTTTTTGTTTTTATTTATTGAATTTTATCTTGAAAGTTTGTCCAGCCTCAATACAGAAAGGGAAGTAGGTCCTGCTGGTGGTGATCATGTATCTGTTCATTATGGAATTGGTGTTTAATGCAAAAATAGATGCTTAGTACAGAAATGCCCAAGGGCTTTTTCCTTTGTCGTACTTCCTGTGGTAGGTAGATATTTACTGGATTAAACCATGTGCTTATCTTTGTATCTGTTTCTTCAGTGGTGATAGTGATGGATGCTGACCTTCTAACCATATTCTCTTTCCAGTTTCTTTTTGCACAGTACATGCCTGAATGGCTCTGGGTATGGGGAGCAAATATTCTCAATCGTTCGTTACGAAAGGAGGCCTTATCCTGCAAAGCATGAATCCGGATGATCGATGAAGTTTTGCCAGCTCCTGGTAACCTGCAGTATTCCGACATTTGGAAAAGGACATTTAATTTATCGTATGTGCTTACTTTTGTGACTGATTATCTAGCATCCTGTCGATTCATTGTTTGCAAGGCAGACATCAAGAGTACTGTGAAAAAAATCTCCAGGGCTCCATGGATGACACAGAGTAAATGATGACTAAAGCATAAAGAACTGATGGAAGAAACCTAACTGTCAGTGCTTTTTACCCAAGCTGTTCAAAATATTTGTAATTTATGTTGTTCTAGGAGCCACAGCGATCTAGCACTTTAGGATTTGATTTGTCAGCTTGCAACTTTAGATGTTTTTGTGAGGGAAATGACCTATTTTCCTTTACAGGTGACTGCTGGTCTGGCTTTCAGGAGTTGATCAGGAAGGGCCAGGGATTTAGCTCAGTGGTTCAGTGGCCTGCCTTGCAAACCGAAGGACCCAAGTTCAATCCCCGGTACCAAACCAACAAACAAACAAAAACAAAAAGGTGATCAGGAGGACTGCTGAGAAGTGTTACTTTGTAACTGAGAGTGCAATGGTGGCTAGTGGCGGTGATAGAAGTCTGTGTGTTCTGCTGCACAGCTCCCTGTGGTGTGTGCGCGTGGGCTGTGTAGATGCTGCTCTTTCCTGAGGTGTGACGTGTGCCTGTAGAACTCAGTGTGTGGTTGAGTTACTTTAAAAGAGATTTCTTGTGAAGGTGACATGGAACCTTACGGGGTACTAACACTCGAGGATATTCCTTCTCGCGCTGATTTTGTAGGTTTGCTATGTCTAGTACTGCCTCCTCAAGATGTCTTTGTGTTTTCAATTCTATGGAATGAATTCATTCCTCCATTTGAATATGTCATCTTTTGATTTATAAGGTAATGTTGTGGATAAGTAGTGACTTCTCAGCCTGTGATCCATTTTATAACTGAAAGTTACCCCTATAGAGCTTGTTATATTTGGTTTTCATACAGTTTTCTATGTAATATCCCATTCCAGTAGCATTATTGATGTATTTATGAAGAGCGGTTAAAATATTGACAAATTATGTGTGTGATATATCTGTTGAAATAGTAAGTTAGAAGCTCATTTTTGGCTGTGTAATGAGTTTACACGTTATAGTGGATACTTTATTGGTGTGAAGATAATTATGCATAAGCCCCCACAGTATGAATTAGCATTGAAACCTACTGTGACATATCTTTCATTCAGATCCTATAAACCCAGTCATTTTGGAGGCCCAACATACCTAGCACTTTGAAAACTTTAAGTCACTATAAAAATGGCAGCACATATGGATTTAAAATTAAAATTTGATATTGTGACACTGTTGGAGAAGGCAGGACGTAGGTTGAGGGTCAAGACTGATTGTTGTCTTGTGAAGGGTTACTCCTCTGTAAGCCTGACCACGCTTTTATGTTAAGCACACATGTTCACCTGTGATGACATTGCCTGCAGCATTTCTAACTGTGACTTGGATCGGAAGATCAGTGTTAAGCTCTTTCGCTCCTTAATCCTGTCTTCAGCATGTAAGATGTGGAGAACTATGCACTTGGAGATGCTGTGTAACAGCAAAGGTTTTGGTGGAGGTAGCTCAGAATCCTCCTGACTTTGTGCCATACTGATGAGAACTTTGATGAATGTGTAATAAGCAGCAGCAACTCTGTGTAAACACATTGTCATTTACTGGTAGGGTTGTGTGTTGCTGTGTGATTAGAATGAGTACACACACATCGTCAGAGGTATTTAAATCTACCTTGGTAGGACCTGGCTAAACACGCTGTTGTGCTTCTGGTGCACAGCTATCCATAGCGTCAGTGAAACACCAAGACGAAGAATTTCCTTAAGTATTCTGGCTTTTATAAAATACTTTTGCCTCAAAAGCTCACTCGAGAGTTAATTAGACCATGATGGATAGGGTTGCTTTTTTCAAAAATGTGAGAAATGTGAACATTTAAAACTAATTCTGTGAGTTGGAAATGTAACAATAAAATCTGGAAGAGGTTTGCTGTAAGTGTTTGCATACTGGTTGTTTGGAAAGAGATTCTTTTTTTCCTTGTAGAAATGATGACTAAAAATCACCCTGTGAATACTGTGGTTGTAATTCATTAAAAGCTGATACTAACCTGGCGTGGTGGCCTATAATCTCAGCTACTTTGCCCAGGATCAAAAGTTTGAGCCCACGGCTGGGGATGATGCTCAGCAGCACCAGATCTGCCTGGCAAGTGCAAGGTCCTGAGTTCAATTCCCAGTACCAGAAAAAAAAAAAGTCTTCTAAAAGTTGGAGCCCAGCCTGGGCAACTTAGTGAGACTGTCTCAAAATGAACAAATACATGCGTACCATTAAAAGGCTGGGCATGTAGCTCAGTGGTACAGTGCTTATGTAGCATGCACATGGCTCTAGGTTCAAGCCCCAGGCCTGGGGGAAGTGAAAATAAGCTGATGTTTTTATCTCAAAGTTGTGCATACCATTGTGCCTGGTGAGCCTTTGAAGTACCCGAGTGATGTCTTGATCTCATCTCCTGATGACCAAGTAGGATGGATATGGGTTTGGTTATTGAATTTGGTAGTTGTGGCAGTGGTAGGTGATTTGCCACGAGCCATTTCAGTTGAGTGGTGGGGATAAAGGCTAGATTATAGTGTGTTCAACAAAATACGCCTGTAATCCTAGCACTTGGGTGAGGCAGGAGAATCACCATGTTTGAAGTCAGCTTAGTCAACTTAGTTCAAGGCCTGCCTGAAATACATAGCAAGACCTTGTCCAAAAAAGAGCAGCTGGGGATTTAGCTCAGTGGTGCCTTGCCTGCCTTGCAAGACCTGAGTTTGATCCCTGGTATGGGGGGGTGATGGGTGACAAAAAAGAGCAAATAGACAATTTTGAGGACCCTGTTTTTTTCTAACTCAATTAGTTAAAATTGTGTCACATTGAGGAACCAAAGGGTTAGATGGTATGTCCTCGGTCTTGACACTGTGTCCTCCAAAACCAATTCTCGTCTGTCCATGACTGTCTCTCAGTATATACAGCCCCTGACTTAGAACTTACAATGATTGATACATAATTTGTTGACTTTACAATGGTGTGAAAGCTGTATTCATCAGGCAGAAATTAAAGTTTGTATTTTGGACTTTTCCCAGATAAGTGATAGGCAGTTGGATTCTGGCTCTCAGTGCTGGGCAGCCAGTGAACCCCACCTCCTAGGCAGGTTAGTGTATGTGTGGGGCGGGTTCCAGTAAATTTGTGGATACCCAAATCTGAAGATGCTCAACTCCCTTATATAAAATGGTGTAATATGTGCATATGATCTTTGTGTATCCTTCTGTAGGCTTTATATTTTGGTTACCTCTCATACCTAAACTAAATGCTATGAAAATGGTTGTTATTGTTTAGGGATGAATGACAAGGAAATAAAAATCTATACATGTTCAGTATGGACACAATTTTTTCCCAAATATTTTCAATCGAAGATTAGTTGAGCTGATGGATATGGAACCCTCCAATACAGAGCCAACTATATAAAATTGGCTTTGTGTTGGGTAATTTTGTCTAACTGTTGGCTGATATAGCGGAGTGTTCTAAGCACTTTTAAGGTAGGCTGTAGTTGTGGGGCCAGGTACACAGTGTTGATGAGCTTGGGAATACTGAATTCATTCTTGATAGGGTGAGCTCTTTTAGGAAGGAGGTCTCAAACAGAGCCCACTATGTGTATGTGATGGACCACATATCTGCCTCAAATGTGTCCTTTCTGGCTTGGCACCTTGGGAGCTAGGTAGGTAGAATCCCATGCAGGGATATTTATTCACCACTGGTTGCTTGTGCCAAATCATGTTTGACCTCCACATCCTCATTTAGCGAGTTTGCCCCCCTGCCCACGGTGCCAATGAATAACCCAGTTTGGGGGTAGGTACTGGCAACCCAAGATGTTGTGCTGAAGTCAGTGGCAGGCCTCAGGCTCAATTGGTGCTTTCCTCTTGAGCAACTCAGGAGAGACCTCCGGGAAACCATGAACATGAAGTTGTGCTCAGAAAAGCCCTGAAACCTACAGTGTGCAGGTGAGGAAGCCGAGATGGGTAACTCCATGGGCAGACTGAGCAACAGCATTGACAGTCTTGCCTCAATGTCTTGGTGCCTGTGTCAAGCTGAAGCTGCTATGCCCTAAAAGCAGCTCCATACATGGTGCTGCGGGCTGTGAAGTTTCACTAGGACCTCTGAGCTTATAGAGTAGCTGTCAGAACCTTGGACCTGCAACTTGGGAACTCTGGCTTTCCCCTGTTCAACTGACGCTTACACCATCTGCTGTTATTCTATAAAGTAACAATTTGAATAAAGATTTAGTTTTCCATGGAATTGCAAATGCATTGTTCTATACATGAAATGTGAGTTTAAGAAGTTATTTTAGGACCTGGATTGGTGGAAAAGTGGTAGGCCAAGATTCTTTAGATTTCAGGTCTTGATTATGTCCAAGGGACTTCCCTGTCCTGTGCTCCAGCCTCCTCCAACTTACAGGCATTCTAAGGAACTGGCAGTGTGATCCTCTTCCCTTTGGGCCTCAGGGGTGTTCACGACGGAGTAGTCTACCCAATTCTAGACAGTTGGGTGATCGTCAATGCCATAGTGACTACAGAGCTGTTAAAAGAACTCTAGTCAAAATTGTTTCACCCCAAGTTAGAACGGAATGACAAATCAAATGCATTTCTGTGGTGGCAGAAGGAAGTTCTTCCAAGATTTGCAAATACAGAAATTCAGGAATTCTCTGAAAGTTCCTAAAATCAAGTTCTCTGGAAAGGTCTGAAGGGTCCATTACCATTTATTGAATTATACATGGGTCATCTACACCATGTGTTTCATTTAATCCTTGTCCTGTGAGGTACATATTAGTATCTCTCTGGATTTTGGCTGAGAAAGCTGAGATACAAGGAGGTTAACCACCTTGCTTAGCGTCACAAAGTATATGTCTTAGGTGAGATACTGTATTTGGAAATTGTTTTATCCACTGTTGAAATAATTTAAATCATTGTTAAGAAAAAAGCGCTGTGATTTCTTGCCATATTGGTATCACTCAGCAGTACTATAGTGCCCTGGAAAGTTAAAGTTCTATAGTTTTGTCTGGCCAAATAGCACGTTGTTACCCACTAGTATTACTGGAACATGCTTGCTGTTCCTCATGCTTAGGACCAAGCAGGGGCCAGTTCAACATTGAGACTGAGAAACACCAGTCAGCCTATCTACCCAGATATTTGGGGCGGGGGGCAGGCACACTTTTCAGTTTTTACATATGTTTCTTCCAAAAAGGAAAGTAAGTAGTTGGCATTAAATAAGTCCTTACTGTTTCCTAATGTACAGAGACCTCTTGCAGCGTAAGCCCTCAGGCCAAGGCCGTGAGAGTTTAGGAGGTTACGTAGATGGGATCTGGGGTTTCCATGTCTGGATGGGTTCAGATTCAGCCACCTGCCCAGGTCTCTCAGC